ATGATACCGCTCTCGCAAATGTGTTTACAACTTGGAACTCTTAAATGCTTTCAGTATAAATTTTCAATATATGTTTTTTGTTAGTTTCACAGTCAGCCAGACAAACAAAATAGCTTTAATGGTTTTTGTGGAGTAAATCAAGACAAATCTTTAAAGCAGCCTCATATAGGCCCCAGAATTAAAGGTACAAAACTGGAAACGTGCCTCGCGTAACGAAGAAGCCATGCTGGCACAGATAACACCCACAATAAGAGTACGACTATAGCGCTTTTTTTTTTTTTATAGCAGGGCCAATGAGTAACTTTAATGGAGCAGTTGGGGTTTAAGTGCCCTGTTTATGGACAAATTGACAACAGTTGGCAGAGTCTGTTACTCTCCACACCAGCTTTTTGATAGTGCTGCAGTTGACACTTTTCAGCAGGTAACCCATGAGCTTTAATGGTTTACTCACCATCTCTGCTTTTTATGTGTAAATGATTTTGATTGATAAATAAATGCGACTCTGATGTGCAGAGAGTGGAAGACTGTTAGTTTAATCATGGCACTTTAATGCACTACCATGCAAGTGCAGGGCAGAGCCAAACACTCTGAGGCAATTGTTTTATTCAAAAACTGACATTTCGGTACACATTTCCACCTCCTGAATTTACACTTCAACCGAGTGACATACGATATAAAGTCTACATGCTCGCTGATGGGTTGAGAAAGACCTCTATCTTACTAGAAACAGCCTCAGGCACCCTCCTGATGAAAGCAAGAAAGCTCAAAACAATTGTTAAATAAAGCATGGTGTTCTGAAGAGAAGTTGTTTGATGTGTTTTAATTTTTAAGAACGGCTTCTAAATTATCTATTACATCCCAATCAGGATTACAAACATGAAACGCAAATACAATATTTTAATTTCGTGCTGAAAGAGCCCCCCAAATTAAATTGTATAACAAAAACGATCAGTTTTGTGCTTTATGGATAGTTTACCAACACATTTTCCTCTTCTTTTTGACCTGAGAAATAGTGAAGAATTGATTGTGCGCAGGTAAGGGTGCAGTTATAGTATAGAATTTAAAGTATGCGTTTATTGTTTGCAACGCCTCCTGGGGTTTTAAAAGCATAATTATACTTTTTGGGTTCATTCAGGGTCGGGTCACATTTCATGAACAACAAAAAGACAAGCAATTCAGCAAGCCTTCTCTCGACTTTCTGTCAAACTAATGCAAAAGATTTTCTCGGATTATTTATGATTTGACTTTGAATGACAAGCTGATACTGTGAATGTGCTCAATACACAGCAGGCGATGAATTCAGGTCAAGAGTGGATCACAAAATAACACACATATTCTATAGTTTATTGGCACAAATAAGACTCGCGAAGGACAAACAGCAGAACAGCCTGCAAACACACAAATCTATCAGCATTTAATCCTGAAGCGTCCTTGTTTTCGTTTTGACATATCTGCTTGCTGACAACAAAACAGAAATTGATCATGGTGTTTCGGCACGCAGATCATGAGACAAAGACATTTTGTTATTCATGATCTTTGAGTGAAAGTAGGTTAAAGTTTATGATGCTGCAGTGCCATGCTTCAATGGCAAAAATAGCATGCATAGTCTGTCAGATCCAACTGTAAAACAATTTGCTAAATGAGCAGTACCTTGACATAAATGTGTCTGACTGAGATGACAGCTTATCAAAGAACAATAATGCAACTGATACATGAAACTGATTTAAAATTGGGGAAAGGTTTTGGTGTAACTGAGAGCAAATGAGGGCTTACAACAGTATCATCACCAAAAATACAACTGGAGAAAATTGAAAGTATAACAATAAAACTTGCTCAAACTAAATCCAAGTGACTATCCCTTCTTACTTCATAGAGTGCTATAGAATGAGTCCCAAAACATGAAAATTAGTGAGCATTTTTGCACTTCCGGCTCCCTCTTCTCAAAGTCAACAGGTTTTTTGAATGAGTTTTCAGTTAGGTGTCGCTGACCAAGCAGTCAAAGCACAAAAACACGGGTTTAAAGTTTAAAAAAAGGTGAATTTATTTTCCCAGAAAGCAACTGACGAAAGATAACAACATTTGAGTTATAGGGCCCTCAGAAGAGGTCAACAATACATAACGCTACTGAAAAATAAAGCTAGCAAAACTAAAACTCCACAAACAGATCTGACAGAGTGAGACGATGGGGAACATATATAGTGGCTGATCAAAACAAATCAAACACAAAGAGGAGAACTTACACAAACAGAAACTAAGACAAACACAAACAAATCCCTAATCTCCCCCATGATGTCACAGCTCTTGGTGCAGTCCATGGGATGGCCCTCTGCCTAAAAGCAGGCTCCGCCCTCAGCCCTATCTTTTGCCCAACTTCAACCAGGAAGTGACTTCAGGTAAAGAGAAAATAATTCATAACTTAGAAAAGCAAATGGCAAAATGACAAAACAGTGTAAACTAAATGTGTATGCTTCATTTAGAAAACAGTGTGTTGACTAAGTGCTGATAACTTTAAACTAAACAAACTGGTGTTGTTTGTATTTCACGTGACTGCAAATTAAAGGTAACTGAACATGTGGTAATGGTGTGGGTGAGCATGGGCATCATTCAACTTTTGTGTGGCTGTGGACACGGCATTCACAGTGTCTGAAATAAGGTCTAATGTGAACCCAAGCTTAAGATATTTTCACATTTTAACTGACACAAAGTAGGTCAGTAAACACCTAAGTTGTGACTCTGGAAGCTTTTATGTGTCTTATAAAAGGCAGTTGCTAACAAGCGGCCAACGAGGCTGCAGGACATCATTACGGAAAACACGGCTCTGAAGCAGTGTTGGCTTTTGTTGCTTTTTACATGTGGCAATTGCATGTATGCTTAAAAAATAACAAAAGTGTTGTTCAATTGTAGAGATTATCTTGCCGATCAAAACATGTAAGTACTAGGGGCATGTCATATCATCTTGTTCATGATAATACCGTTATAATTTTTAATATCATATGAAAAACTCGAAACTTTTTTTCGACATGTTGACATATTGACGTCATACAGTTACCGACGGCAACAACAAGCATGGCTGAAAGTGAAATCATTACAGACTTCGCAAAGGGTTCCAGGCGTCCTGAATGTTTCATGAACAGCCCCGGACTTCTCAGACTCTTTTACTGATTTACCGCTCATAAGGAACTCATTCAGCAGCTCCTCTGGCAGCAGCACAGTGTCTGTCCCTCTCCTGCCTGTGTGCACATGGGAGTTGGTGTTGTCAAGGGATTTTGTCATAAAGCTTTCGTAATGTAAACCACCGTGACGCTTGTGGCTCAACAAAAATGTCTTATTAAGAAGTTGCAGCAGTGTGAACTGGCCTGTCTGAGCTCGACTCAAGCTGGCTGATGGTCTCACCTGTGACGCAGCTGGTCAAATCGCCAGCGGCTGGTTTTAGAACATAAAGCACCTCACCTGTTTGTACAGCCAATTGTCTTGTAGTGAAGTCCACTGGTCAAGTCAAAATGATCACAGACAGCGTGTTTACTTGCTGCAGGAGGTGCTTTGTCCCCACCAAGCCCTCTGTTTCCATCCTCATGGAGTGCCGGGGTCGGATGGTGGGTCGCTGATGCTCACTGTATGTGCTTATGCCCCGACATACATAAATTCTCACTGACTGGTTAAAATGCAGCTGTAGCCAGTATCTCACTATCACTATCCTCATTCATATTTTGAGAAGCTACAAATTATATTCAGCCACAAAATAAGCTTGGAAAGCTCGTAGTTGTTGCACAGAGATAATAAACCGTCTCGTTGCGAATCTTTGATCTGAACGGGGCTTAAGGTGTGTCCAGCCAAAAGGACTGCAGACCTGACACACACACACACATGCACGCACCTGAAATTAGAATAGTAAATCCTCTTATCATGACTTTATAAGAAGAAAAAGTTACTCTTCTTCATTTGCCCGCATTTTGCGTGCTCCAACATTTATCATATTCCAAAGTCATTGATCATTATTTGTGTTTCTCGCCTCATATCTGTATATACGATACCTTATCCCAGCCACTTCACCCACAGTTTGTGGAAACAGTGATGTATGCCCTCCACATCCTTCATGATTGATTGCATCTTTGCTGCTGACTCGCTTTAAAACAGACTGTACCTTCTTAATTCATCCGAGTTGTTTTTTTGCCAGAGTAAAGGTTTCTCCCTCCCCTCTCCTGCTCACTGAGTCTCTGTTTGTGTGGGAGTGAGAACAACGGGAGTGAGCACTAGACGGTGATCACAAGGCAGGGTGATCATTATACGCAGCGTTGGCATGAGAACACTCCGTGTTACTTTGAACATCAGTGTCACATACATGCATATAAAAAGATTCATTCTACCTCGAAATTTTGATTTGTATATTAAAGCCTGCTTTTCTGAAGGTATGTGTCTGAACTCAGAGTCAGAGCCAAGCGTCTGGTGGGTCCCCTTATGACAAGAGGAGCAATCTGTTTTCATGAGCTCAGGTCCCGGGGCATGAGATTAAATTACTTATTTGGATCCTGGGTTGAAAAAGTTTACTGTAAGTACCTCTGAGGGCTTTAGCAGTGGGAAAGAAAAGGTTCTCCAAAGCTTTTCGAAAACTCTTCCTCTTACTGAGAGAATCAAGGTCAGCTTGTGTTTGCATTTAATCTCTGTTTGTAGCCAGTGGTTTATCTGAAGAGATGGTAATGGATGTTATGGGGGCAAAGCAGCTGGCATAGAAGGCTAGTACTTTTTTTTTATAATGAAAAAGTCTGGGTTTTTTCCTTTAGTTGAAATGTGTTTTACAGAGAGATGAATAAAACACTATTGCTTTTCAAGTGATGTAAAAAGCAGCAAAATATCAGGTATCCTCTAAAATCCGAGACCTCTCAGTAAACTCTGATTCTTGGACGGTGTGAAACCCAACACACTTCGCTCTAAGTACTCCATTTCCAAACTCATAAATAGTAGCAATTGTTTTAACCTTGATGTCACTTCTCTTCTGTCCCCAGTTCCGGCCAACATCTACAAGGTGTCAGAGGACATCACAGTGAATGAGGGCAGCAACGTGACACTCAGTTGTTTGGCCAGTGGCAGGCCGGACCCTGCAATCACCTGGCGGCTGCTCAACCCCTCAGGTAAGAATCATCCAAACAGTGCTCATTATCATTTGTGTCAGTCTACGTGTCAGGCAAATAGGGTGCACGATTATTTTAGCATGTTAATACCAGATTGTTTTTTATTTTAAGGTGAAGCTAAATCTCTATTATCGTGTAATCATCACGTCACTTTTCAGACACAAACACAGCCACAGCGGAAATCACTCTTTACAGTGATAGCAGGAAATCTAATGTCCATTAAGGATGGACACAGAGATACAGATCTCAGATAGTAATCATCACACTCAGACTTTTCCTTCAGTATCAAAGTAGCCCTGTGATTGTTGCCTGTGCAGGGAAAGCACCAGTTTCTGCTAGGAGCCAAAGCATAATGAATTTCCAAGGTGAAAAAGTGCTAGAATGAAAACAAATAGATTATGAACACATACGTGTAGAAAGGCTTCCACTAAGTCCAATATTTATGTGCATCAGTCATTGGCAGATTTGTCCGGCAGTGCAGCGTTCAATGCTGATCAATGTTTACATGTGTTATTGTAATTTTTACCATATGCTCTGATGTTGAAGCCCGGCGCTGTGTGCAACTCGACAGTAGATGAGAAACTGACAAGCTGAAGTTTGCAAAAGTCCATCCGAATTTGTCAAGAAAGCTTGTTAGATTTTCAACCATAACTTTGTCAGTTATATTCATAGAAACTTCAAATGAAATATCATCTGGACCACAGCATGCACAATCTCATTTATATATAGACGGCGTGTTTGCTTGCTGTGGCAGACAGCAACCCTCCGTTCCTGCTTAGCCTGAGTTCATCTTATTTACATCCCTGCGGCTGTTGACACATATATCGGTCTCCATCATCACGGGGTGTGTTGATGTCGGACAGTGGGTTGCTGCTGTCACACATACATACTCATTGACTGATTAATTAGTGCTGGTTATTTAAATAATTGTGGCATATTTATTATGACCAGGGCCAATGATGCTTGGGTCTTTCTTTTCTTCATAGCTAAGGGTGCTTTCACACCTGCCCTGTTTGGTTCAGTTCAATTGAACTCAAGTTTGTTTGCCCTCAGTGCGGTTTGTTTGGGCAGGTGTGAACACAGTAGGGCTGTCAAAAGCACCATGAAATTGAGTTCGAATAGTTTCTAATTAATTTAGTAGAGTTGGAATAATATCCGAATTTATTATTATTATTTATTTATTTATTTATTTTTTTTTACAAAAAAACCCACAAAAAATAAGATGCTTATTGCTGGCGCAATATGAACGTGACACTCGGATGAAAACACCCGTTCTGACCTCACTGAAGTGCCAGGTATGACCAACTTCTGCCTCGCTATCTGAGCAATGTTTGGATACTTCAGTGCGTAGTTTTCCACCACAAGAGGGGATCCTGGTCGGCTCGTAGTGGTGTCTCATTCTGGTAACGTTTCATCTCTTCTTCAAAAAGGGTAGGCAGGGAGGCAGCAGGTGCAACGCTCTCCCTGTATGTCTCCCCGAACAGGTCACACATCGCGGACAGCACAGTGGGTGGTGTTGGCGCAGCGGGCTCCTCCATCGGCGCCTCTCCCTCCATCGCTGCGTCCCTCTCTGGCCCCGGCTTGTGCGCGAGCCATCTCCGCCCGAACGGGATTCGCAGTGATATACAACATTATTGATAGTATTAATTAATTATTAATGATATTCGAATTATCAAATTTAGGTTCAAACTTATAAAAAATATATATATTCAAATATATTTCGAACTTCAAATTTTTTTTGACAGCCCTAGAACACAGCAATCGCACAAACAACCAGACCGAGACATTCTTGAAGAGGTGGTCTGCTCTGTCTCAAACGAACTCTGGTGCAGTTGGTTTGTGGTGAGAAGGTGTTCCGACCTGGATCTGAACCAACTGCAGTCACATGACACATTGTTTGGGTTCAACATGAGCATGTTACAGTCCTGGAGGATTATTAATGTGCACCTCCTCCTGTACTGCCTTAATATGCACATTCAGCACATCCAATGCATCAAAACATTGTTTTCTAGTTGGAGCCGCGCCTCGTTTTCAAACTGTATGGTTTGACTAAAATGAACAATGACAGCAATATAGTACACGATGAGCAGCGCTAAAATCAACCTGCGTAGTTGTCCCTCCATTGTGACATTAGAAAGTGTCACATTTATCTTGCAAGTGTACTCTTCTTCAACGTTTGCTTTACTTCCTGGATTTTTCCCACATGGAAATTCTGACCCATCAAGAGCAGCTTTCTTGAACAAGGAATTTGACCAGTTTGCTTGTAAATGCTGCCGTGAGAACACGAACCAACTCTAGGCCATCATGCAACTTTGTAACAAAAATAGTCCCTGATTCGGACCAAAGCAAGACAACTGTAGGTCTGAAAGCACCCTGAAAATGTAGCTCTAGCAAGAGTCTCACTATCACTATTCTTATCCATAATTTAAGAAGCTACAAATTATATTCAGCTACAAAATAAGAATGAAAAGCTGGAAAGCTGGAGACGATACATCAACTCGTCTGGTCTTATTGGTTTAAATTGGCGGGTTTTCAAAATGTTGCAGACCAGCGCCTGCAATTAGTTTCAACTTGTCTCGTTGCGCATCATTGGTTTGAACAGGGCTTTAATTGATTATCATGTACCCCTCCAACTTCAAATTCATCCGTGCCTCTGTGCCAAGACTGTATATACACAACCTCCATTTTTAAGGAGAAAATGTGAAGTTTTCCAGCTGTTCAGACTTCCTCAAATCATGCTTCATTTTTATTGATTTAGGCTTTACAGCATTGTTGTTTTGTTTTGTAAGCAGTTAAACTCATACATATACATGAGACATATAAAGGCAGTAGAAAACAGAGACAATGAACTTCCTGTATAGATTATAGGCTACCAGCTTTGCGTTCGTAAGAGCATGTTTATCTATCCATGGGGTCAGTATCTTATATGGTAGCTCTTCATGTATGATAGCTGTGTTGATGTTTGTACATGCTATCAAAGTGTGTACAGGCAGTGTTTCAGTACACCTCTCCACATATGTGCTTTCAGATAGTGGCGACACTGTTGCTTTGGGATTTAATCCAATTTCAGAAAAAAGAATAATGTCTCCCACCACTGATAGTGTGATGGATGGAGATGCTCAAGTTGACAACATCTCAGTTTGATCAGGGCCTGGTGCCGATTGAAAGCGATTCTATTTGCGCGTCTTTATCAATTACTGCATCAGTTTGTCAGCGCTCCAGACATGTTCAATCAAATCTGTCTCGCGCACCTGGAAGCTGAACAACTTGGATGGGTGCATTTGCTTCTTTTGTCTGTTTGCATTAAAGGAGAGTGATCTGTTCCGCTCAATCCAGCAAGCCGTATGGATCTGACTGGCTGCTTTTAAGTACGTGGTAAAAAGTAAAAGCTCTTCTTCAATTTCTTCATTTCAAACTGAAGTTGAACTTTCAAGGTTCAGATGGCTTGCTGTAGGTAAAACTCCCCTGCAGGTTTAAACAGCTTTTGTTCCAAGAATATGGATGGAGATATGGATATAGAGGGATAGAAAAAGCAATATCTAACAGTAGATATTTCTAGCTGCCATGGACTGAATGGGCTGCTAACTACACCTCTGTAAGCCCTATACAATGTATGCCCTAAGGTAGCTTTTCTTTTTATCACTCCCTTTCTCTGTGTTATGTTGAGGAAGCAGTGGGCAGACCACCTTCAACAAGTCTTACTTGTTGAACTGAAAACAGTTACTGGAACACAGTGTGATAGAAGGAAAATCCTGTCAGTGTCCTGGCAGGATTGGATCCTGTAAGTCTACACAGGCACATGTGGCTCCAGAGATGGGGGGACCCAACACTGGCACTGTTGTTATTTTTTTTGCTATATTGCGGGTGTCTTTCACCCCAGAATCCATAAATCTAACCCAGATCGAGAGCATATGGGGGACTGCTGAGAGAGACAATAATGTTTGGCAACCTGTCGTCTCACTACCTCACACCTTCGCCTGCCTGGGCGGTAATGCTCCTTTGCTCAGCTAGCGAGGCTCTCGACTATTTGCTGAGACCACAGATGTAGATGAGTCACAAGTCAAGACTCGAGTCTTTTATTCAGAGCTAGAGTCAAGTCTCAGTGGTACAGTATAGGTCTCCATAAAGGTTCAAACTTACTGACAGTATGGCTGATCTCACAAATCATTCTCACTGCAGATGAATTGTGTTTTTATAGTTATAGGGGTATAGAGGAACCATTATTGTGAATTCTTTAAAGGACAAAACTCTATTTTGAAATGAAGCAGCAGACGCCTGCAGACAAATATGGAACATTATCAAGAGGATGAAGGAGAAGACATACATATGAGGGCATTCGGATAATTAGCAGCAGCTGAAGAAGGAAATGTTCTTAATTAAGGTTTAAGTAACATATCGTCTTTCATTTTGCTCACATTAAACAATGACAAAATCTGATTTACTTGTTAGCAGAGTCAGTAATCTCAGTAGATGAACAAAAAACTGAAATAAAGTAAGTTGCCCAAAAAAAATAGGGCTAGGTATTGTTTAAAAACATACAATATTAATACCAGTACCCTTAAAGTGGTACAAATACTGATAAAGTACTTCATTTGGTACCTTTTTTTTCTTCTTGATTTGATACCCACCATGAAAATGAAAGCATGAAGTTGAAATACTGAAGCATACTTACCCACCACTTCCATCAGTACACTGACTTCACCACACTACACACTGCATGGGCTTTAGTTTGTCAGGAGAAGTGTTGTAGCATAAACATGACCTAAAATAAGAGACACTCAGACATAGAGTTGCACATTTGAGGGTCTTAATCTCGTGAGAAAGACGAACAATTGGTACATGACAATTTATAGTGTCAAACAAACAAGCATTTTAGGTACTGTAGGTGCTTCCTGTCACTTAAGCTGCTGTTCCCTGTTATTCAAATAACCAGTTCTAAGAACAATTACAGTCAGATCATCTAGCTGAAGTCATGTCAGGTCATCTACTGGGGGATATCA